GCTGTGATGAGAAACACAAAGGAGACAGGCAAACTGTTACAGATGGGGCTGACCAAATGACATCTGTTCCACACGATCTGAGATTGGCTGACAGGGATCAGCCCAGCTGCAGTGGAAGTGTCAGGAGTCTGTGTAGTGACAGCAGTCGACACGAGTGTCCCATCTGCAGCGAGCCGTTTGACTCACACGGCGAGCACCGCATCACCTTACTCAACTGCAACCACACACTATGCCACCACTGTATAGCTGGCATCATGAGGCGGGCCAAGAATCAGAGCCGACTGCAGTGCCCGTTTTGTCGACAGACCACCCCGTTCCCACAGTGGGAGATCAGAATGCTCCAGGAGGAGTCCTATAGTAGTAGCATCTATGAGCCCAGACTGGCCCTTGTCATCAGTCCTGGCCCTGAGCTGCAGGCCAGCCCTGCATCATTGTTATGTTGCTTCACTGTGGAGACACACACACAGAGAAACATATGTGCACGGTGCGTGGACCCTTCCTGCCTCATCAGAGGACTGAGACTGATGCGAGGGCACTCGCTCTGCTTCTCCATCACTGCCCTCCTGCTGGTCTTCCTGGTGCTGCTGGGCTGTTTCCTATACATGGTTGTTCCTGTTACAGTGGTATCCGTACTGCTCAGTAACGGCTAAACTTCTCATTTTGAGAATTTCAGTTATTTGATTTCTGCAAAACAGTGGATTCATTTGAATAACCTGCCTGCTATTTTAATGCTATTACAGGCATTAGATGAAATGTCAAGTTTCAAATGTCATTTGTTCTTCAGTTGTTTTATTAACCTTGTCTTTTATCTTTCATTTCACAAAACCTGATTATTCCAGACACACCTTTGGACACTGAGTCATTTCTGTCTGTGACCTGGACACCGGTCTTCTTTGTTGACATTATAATTGGAAAATTTTCAGTTTGGATTTGGCAAAAGCCAAACTGACTCCTAAAGTGGGTGATGTGCAGGTGCACATGAAAAGAAGTAAATTTTCAATATCACATGTGTGGAAAAAGCCATCTCAGTACCAGGAAGTTTACTATACAGCATCTCTGAAATATTTCTGAAACTGAAAGGATTGAGTATCTTGTCAGTCTGTTGATCTCTGACATTGAAAAGTGCCACAGCCTTGTAGGATCTGGTGCCACAGAAGACTTTAGGTGAAAACTCTTCATAACTTTCTGGCTCTGGTACTGACTCAGCTTGGGTACTCTATGCTGTTATTGTTACGTATTCTTAGCAACAAAAACTCATCTTGATCTCCTTTCATAGCGCACATGAAGGAGACTTGGCTCCACAGTTTAACCCTTTATATTCATCTTATTCATTCAAAGAGAGAGAGATCGCAATGATGACAACAGGAACTGATGCTCCTCTGGACATGTTCCTTTCTTTACTGTTTTGTTGTTGATGCACTTGTAATTTGAAGATTGTTGCTGTGTGATAATAAATATAGACTAGATTTCTATTCAGAAAAACTGTGGTTATGTGTATAATATGTCAGCTGTTGGAAAAATGTTTATCAAGGGACAGTAACATCAAGTGACCCACAGTACAATTATTATACGTTCTGTACTTGCAAAGAGTAAACTGTAGATCTAGAATAGATACCGTATGCATTTTACTGACTGTATTTTGCTGTTGTGTACTTACACCAACTCAGTTCTCATAAGCAGTCAGACTGCAGAGATACAGACATATCTGTTCCAGGAGCCAACGAACAAGCCATGACTGTTAGGTCTGACTGTATGAATGACCCTCAGAGAGACTGCTTCTCTAAGCATTTCCTTCATGGAACCATATTGTGTGTATTGAATGCTCCCTTGCTGCAAGAATAATTAAACCCTTATATTATTCACATAAGTGGCCTCGGTCTGCTTTGTCTATTGTCAATTTAACCCTAACATCAGCCTTTATCAAATGAACAACCAGACAACCAGAGGAGTATGTGTTTGTCAGACTGTATTAGTTATTTTTGAATGGTTGACCTTTTAGCTAGATCTGTCAAAACAGTTTCATCAGCTGGTAGAAACTTGGTGGATCACAGACCGTACACACTCTTCTGTTTGAAGAAGAAAAGTATTGTGGTGTCTTTGTATCCTCTATCCTAACCTGTTTTCCTGAGACTGAATCTTAATCTTCCCTGACTTGTTTGTCTGGCCAGTTTTCTGAAATACAAACTGAAAAATGTATCAGATGTGCATGCTATCCCAAGGCTTTTCAGCCTGCTGGGAATAAAGTTGGAATTTAAAATCCATAAGAGTCTTTGAGCTCTCTGCAGCATGAATACCTCAGCTTGGCATCATGACAAGCAAACACCGAGGGGGTGCCAATATACGGTATATAACTGATGCAAAGACTTTGCACTACATGAGAAACACATCAGACAGAGAAGGGTCCACCTGCAAATGATTCTCTGAGTCACTCTGTTTCCTCTTCAGCTCTGTTCATGTCAACATACTGGTAGAGCATGGTCTGTTCTGCCCCCTGCTTCAATCACATAATGTGGGCTCCAAGTCAAAGCGCAACATGAGGAGATGAAGCCACACAGTTTGCAGACAAACATGCTGCTGTCCTGCTAAAGCACGTAGGAGTTCAGCTGTGACCTGCTCTGTCTGTTCTTTCCTCCCCTTCACTCCAACTTTGTTTTATATAGTTCTTCAACTACAACAAAGTCACTTTGGACTATTTAAAATTATAAAACATGATGTGAAATTACTTCATCTTAATTTGCCTAATTTGTTTTGTCAGAAATACTTAGTCCTAATTAAAATAGGACCACAGGTTGGATCCAGAGGTTAAAGCCTTCTTTGTATTGCCAGTGTAACATTTCATCACTGCATCAAAGGATTTACATTTAAAATTCGATGGAAAAAGTCTGAAAGTCACTCAGATGATTCACTACAGTTCCTCAGGAGAAGTTCATTTAATTGCTAGGACAGTTTAGTAGTTTATACCGTGATTCTGCAGCAGTAAGCAGCATCAATGATAAACACTCACTGGCTTGTGTAGCTTTATGACCAGTATCTTCACTGAGGAAGCTAGCAGAGAAGATTGGTTCTCAGTGTGATTCCTCACCATGGCTTCATCTAAACTAACCTCACAGTCCTTCCAAATGCCCACTGATGTTAAACACCACTGACATGCGTTTAAAGATTAAACTAGAAGAAACTGTGTAGCATGCTGAAACTGCCCTGATTGGATTAGGACTCCTGTTATTTAAATACATTGTCTTTGTCCTCCCTAAAAAAGATCCAACCATGTTAAGGTGATGACATTAGTTTGGTATTAACCTTAACCACGCATACACAGAGACACACAAACCTACCTAGCTCAGCCCTGCAGAGGACTGTGTGGGTGGTGCATGAGTCTGTAGTCCTTTTCTGTGGGCGGACCAAGTGTGAACTCGAGAGTGTGTTAGTGTGTGTACATGTGTGTGTGGATTTGCGTGTATATGTGTGAGTTTTAAAGCATGCAATGATCTCTGTGTGCTCGGCTGCCTGTGCTTATTTTTGTGCATAGTCTCACTGGACTCGTGAGGATTCAGCAGCAAACTTATTATATAATGGCTGCAGAGCAGATAGATGTTTGAGTAGTGGCTGAGTGCGCTAGATGAGAGGCAGAGGAGGGCTTTATAACCTCATTTAATAAAAGGTCTTCACGCTGTCAGGGCCCTGTCATAAGTGGTGAGTTTAATAGGAACTGGCTGTGGCAGTCACGTCGAGGCTGGGCGCGTAATCATTAGGTGCTCTGTTCAACACCATTATTTTTCAGTTATTTTCAGTGGTTTGACGGTGACGTGGACTTTCCTCTTCTTGTCGTTGTGGTTGGCACTTTGGAGGAAGCGCTTCTCAGTTTTAGCTTAATGACTTCAATGACAAAAAATGCCTTTGGAAATGGATCCATTCAGGCTGTACCAAAAAAACAGCCTCACTGTCACTATAATTCAACTCTGTTTCTGACAGGTTTAGTGCTCTTATTTTTCCCCTCTTTAGTGTTGTCTTTAAGGAATTTTTGAGAAACCATTTTCATTATCCCGTTTGCAGTGCTCATAAATGACATTTTGGTTTAAAATTATGAAAAAAACCAAAACATTAAACCACCAGCCAAACTGCTAATGAATGTTGATTTCTTCAGCCTCGTGATTCATTTATCAGCTCATTGCAACACAGAGGCACCACGTGTTGTGTGAATTTATGTTCTGGACCCATTTCCAAAACACCTTGTTCAGTAGTAGGAATTGTTGATAGCTTAAACCCTCCAAGGGCTAAATCCTTTTGGGGACAAATATTATATTTTACTATTAAATGAAATGCTAAACGGCTCTCATAGTATTGCTTTTCATTTTTGCGTGCAGGTCTGTGTTGCTAGAAAAATGCCTGGACGTTTCCTGCTGTGACCAGTAAACTCGCTGTGCAACATTTCCTCCGCGTAAAGTGCGCGCGCCTGTGGACGTGTGCATCTGTGTTGTAAAAATCTTGTTTCCTAGGTAACTAGGAGGCCGAATTTGCTCGTCATGCATGTGGCAGGGGAGTGCTCCCAGCAGCTACTTGAACAATCCAAAGTGCGGGGCCAGAGACCAGACAACATCCACACCACAGTCTAATCTGTCCACAGCAGGCTTGACAGACTCCTGACGGCTGGAGAGACGGAAGGCACTGACGAGCTGCGTGATCAATGGGCTGTCCACAGAGGTCGGTCCACTTTACGCAGAGAAGTACACCACAAATCAGACACCCCCCCCCACCCCGCTTCCAGTTTGTAGGAAAATAACTGGCACCAAGCTCCGTGTCACTGGCTCAACTCTGACCTGAAAGCCGTTAGATTGGAACAAACGCCCTTCCTTCTCCCCATCTGCTCTTGTACATTCATGCCATTGGTGGGGAATCTCTCAAACGTCTGGTTCTCATTTCACACGCATGGCATCGCAGGTATTAACAAAGCCTACATATTAATCCGAACTAATTGTGCATATTATCCATGCCCTACAGGTATGCAACTTAATACTGCAATTGCGCTGCTGTCAGTGTTCTTGCTTTTCATGTCCTATTATGAATAGCATGGTGATCGAGTGTATTCGGAACAAGTAAGCGCATTTATTTTTCATACGATCATCTTCTGCTTCTCAGCAGCAGCAGCAACACGCCAACAAGCAAAACCCAGAGTGGGGAGGTGATACGGCGGGAGCGCGCAGTAGAACACTGCGGCGCGCATGCACAGCTGTCAGCACCAAGGACAGCAGCCGCTCAGCCCGGAGCGACCAGCAACGCATCGGTGTGACCAGCATGCACAGAGCGCACGAAGCAGCGGCCGGATGGGCTGATACACACCCCGGAGAGGAACCTAAGGTTTAACTCTTTGTTCAAGACCGCAAGGAGGTTTGAGCAAATCTGCAAAGGAGAGCAAAGAAAGGTGGACAATGCGGTTTGGATGTTGCAGGTTGACAATTTTCCAGTAATATGACCGTGCACATTCCTGCGCTTTGCACATAAATCCACCTATTTTATCAACAATTTTCTTCCTCTTTGTGGCCCCCCTCAATCGTTCGCCTACAACGCCCACCTGGATCGTGTCTGCAGTTGTGCATTCAGCTGGCTGAGCCGTGCTGTTGTCCAGAAGCTGGTCTAGCCGACCCGCCACCAGGGAGAAAAGCGACCGGGCTGCACTGTGCTGTTTGGTGGTCCACACGATGCGGTTGTTCTTGCTGGTGGTGCTCTTCTCGTGCTCCTGCGCGCGGGCCGGCTGCGAGCCCAAGATTGTGAACATCGGGGCCGTCCTGAGCCAGAAGAGATATGAGCAGGTCTTCAAAGATGCCGTGACCCAGGCCAACCAGGTCTACGGTAGAGACAAATTCAAGCTGACCGCAATCTCCGTAACGCATAAACCCAACGCCATTCAGATGGCCCTCTCCGTCTGCGAGGACCTCATCTCCAGCCAGGTATAGCCTAATTTATTGCCACCTCTGCATTGGCGATAAATCTAACACGTCTCGTTATTCTCTGATAGCCCATAGGTCAAGTTACATATCCAAGCACACTTTGACTTGACTGTTAAAACGGTTTGTATTAGACTCTGCGTCAGGGTGTTTCGGAGGAGCAGCAGTGTTGCCATAGAAAGTTGGTGCTTTCAGGAAACACATGTCATAATCAGATACATTTTGTCACTGAAGGATCACTGAGTACAAGACCAAATTGTTGTCTATAACTAGATCATCATCAGGCTGAATCCATACTGGACAGGTATCTGTCTCTCACACTAGCAGACTGACTGTCCATTTAGCCTGAGTACAAAGGTATAGACACTAAAACAAAGCAGTCAGTACATTATTACAAATTTGTTATTTATCCAGTTTGGCATCCACTCTACACTGTTACACAAAATCCACAAATCAGTCCATTCTGTACAGTGAACACCCCATAGACCCATCTGTTTTACAGACATCCAAAAATAGGCTTTGGTGTGAGGCGTATCTGCGATGACAGGACTGGACTGCACATTTCAGGACACACAGCTGCAGATGTACTGAACTGAGAAGGGGCCGTTGTGGATTGAAAATGTGCAATATGTCATTTACAGTAAATGTAACTTCAAGGTGTGTGTGACGCATGATGACATTTTGGTGTGAGGAGGCTGACACAGATGGAGCAGTTTCTGCGTGGTGGCCCTCAGGCGTGCATCACTCAGCTGTGTTACATGATGCAATGGTGACATGAAAAATTCTTATGCTACACTAAGATTCCCATTTAAAAGTGTCTAAATGCAGATTTTTGAGGAAAGGCGTTTCCATATAGACAAGCCTAAAGATGCATAATATATATGTGCTGCCTACAGTATCAGATAAACAAAAGATATTTCATAAGTAATGCATGTGAGTGTGTATGTGCCTTTGAGAGTTGTTAAAACACTGAAATGCACATACTCATGTATGTTATTTACTTATGTGGTGCTCCTCATGGCTTTTAAAAATCACCAGCATTATGTCACAGCATGTTGAGGCGTGAAGTCTCTGTCTCTCTCTCGCCTCTTTCTCCCACACACATCATTAAGATTCATGGGGGAAAAAAAACACCCACAGCTTTTGTGCTGCTTTCATGTCCTTGGTCCTTTGCTTAGTGGATTGACTCTAACTGATAAAAGCTTGTAGAATAATACTGTCACATCTAGTCTCCTGTTCACCCAAAGCATGAGCATGCAATCCACCCATTGGGCTGTACAGATTACAGTCCTCTACATACACACACACTTCTTGCAAATGAGACAAAACCACATCTCATTTAGACAGAAGGTCTGTGGAAGGTTTAATCAGATGAGACTGGCTGTAGGCGATAACAGCCACTGAGAAGGAAAGTCTGTGGCAGATGGGGGAGTAGATGCCTGGGAGCAGTCCTTGGAAGCTAGACCTCACTTTTGACCCAACCATACGGGCTGCTCAGATCCAATAATCCACGCCTGCACAACCATGCCAGCTTTATTCCTCTTCCTTCACATCTCCGGGGTATTTTTCAGCACTGAGTGTTGTGACGAGGACACAGAAGTCGTTTTTTAAACTAGAGCACTCAGCCAGAATCTGTTGCTTAATGCACAAGATAAAACTAAACCAAACAACCACAAATTCATGTCTTCCAGCCCACACAGTGAAGACATTTTGAACAAGGGAACAAAATTCTTCACTCTTCTATTTTGTTGTTGCAGATGCAGTTTTCCCTGACTATAATATATATAGGCTTTCAAGGTTCAAGATATTTTTTTTTACTTGTTATACAACATTTTATGGCAGTAGTTACAAATAACTAAGTAAACACAAGTTTACTTATCCTGAGGTAGAAAACTTGATGTTTCCATTAACGCTGATTTACAAACCATGCAAAACAGGCAAACTGCCAAGATCCTTTTAATGTGTTTGTGATTATTTGATAAACTGTAAGCATATACTGAAATGGAAAAGGCTCTGAGGTGTGACCCCTGCATCTGTACTTGATTCTGAAACTCAGATGTCATGTCTTACACAGTGCACATTCTGGAACATTTATTCTGCTTATAACCCAAAAGCAATGGAGAACACGTGGGGGTCAACACGCCCACATCTCCCTTCTTCCCCAGGTCCCCATAGAAAGCTGATCAGTATTAACTGATGAAACTTTGATGTTGTAAAATGAACTTTTACAATATAAGTAGATGGAGTTTTTTTTTTCCCTGCTAGCAAACCTAATAGAATCTTAAGTGCAATCTCCTGTTATTGTATCCTACAAGAAATGTACTGTATCTATGCAGTCAGGAAGTGTTGCATATAGGAAGGCCAGTGGACTTGACACAACTCTTCATGCTGTTGTATATGATTTGTGTATGAAGTATTAGTGTTTAATATGTTATGTTTGTTGTATGTGGCACACTTTGTTGCTTATTATCTGCAAAAGTATATTTAAAAGAAGAAAGAAAATCTTGCAGCATGTCTAAAACAGATGCCTTTAAATGCTTATCAGAGTAAGACACTGCATCTTTCTGCCAGTGTCAGAATGACAAAGTGTTATTCTTCTCTCTCTGCAGGTCTATGCTATCCTGGTGAGTCACCCACCACAGTCCAATGACCACCTCACTCCAACACCTGTCTCCTACACAGCAGGCTTCTACCGCATCCCTGTGGTGGGGCTCACCACACGCATGTCCATCTATTCCGACAAGGTGAGCAGCAGATGAGAGATGCGGAGAGAAATAGAGGAAAACAAGAAGAGCGAGAGAGTGTGGAGCTCCTCTGGAGCGGATTCAGAAATTTTTTCTAAATTAAACGTCTCATTACTGTCCATTATGAAAGCTATCTTTAAATGGGTTTCCAGCTGAAAATTGAAAAAACATCATTAACAATGCCTCTGACCTGAATAATGTTTTATGAAGCACAAGCCACTAACATGAAAATGCACTGACATTAATAAAATGCTAAGGACGTACCACTATTTAAGTGACATCTCTCCTAATCTTGCAAATAAAAAGAAATCAGCATTACATTCACATATTAAAGGGAGCCTGAGTGATCTGTGCCTAGATTTTTATCTGTCTTTTAAACATGCATTTAGTCCTCGCATTCTGGACCACCTCGCTGCAAAGTTTTCTGCTGCTTTCCAGTTTTTGCTCCATCTCTCAGGCACTTATTTATCATTCAGCATTTTAATGAGCACAGACTTTCTGTTTTGAGTGTCTGTGGAAATTCACTCATCTCTAACTTTGCCATTATTTCTTACAGGAATTCTGTGCACTTTTAGCTACCCACCGCTCTAATCTCATCTCAAACAGTGAATCATAACATTTAGATTGATACTATCAGTAGTATCGTCACACCAGCATTTGTCCACTTTTTATGTTGTCAGTGATGAGTCATTCAGTAAATATTAAGTCCTTCGTTTCCTGCTTTGTGCTCCTTAGAGTATCCACCTGTCCTTCCTGCGGACAGTCCCTCCCTACTCCCACCAGGCGCATGTGTGGTTCGACCTAATGCGTGAGTTCAGCTGGAACCACATCATCCTGATCGTGAGTGATGACCATGAGGGGCGGGCTGCTCAAAAGAGGCTCGAGACCCTCTTGGAGGAAAGAGAGACAAAGGTGAGACGCTCCGCCTCACAGAGCCCTCAGTGTGTGAGCATGAGTGTTCAAGTGTGTATGGTTTTTAAACCTCAAAGGTCTTTTATGTATGTAACTGTCTCCTTTTCTGTTGTGTGGCCACATCTTTTTCTCACCATTGCGTAAACACTGGTTAACATTCCTAGAGCCATCAACAGCATCTAATGTGGTCTAATCTGACAAAAGTTTGTATGTTTATTTGCTCATCTTCACGTTGCTTTTCTCCATAGTCCAAATTATCCCGTATCTATCCACATTGGGAGCCAAATAGTGGACTTTAACGTGGGGCTTTGCAAACCATCACAGACTGAAATGTTGTTTTATTTGGGCCCTGGTGTACAGAAGGTGGTTCTTTTAGCTCAGTGCATGATGAAGGCAGGCTGCTTTATTGTACACAGAGGCATTGTGTTTATTGCACCTTGCTAGGTCGTGTTCATACGGTAGATGTTTTTGCCTGTTAGCGTACTGCTGATGCATCCATTTTGAGTGTAGCTCTGAGCTGTGTATGTGCTTCAGTGAAATGCTGATCTTCTTTGAGCCCAAGCAGACTTGAGACTGTGATGACAGGTGCCCTTTAGGAACAAAGAGAGAGAGTTGAAAAGAACAACTTCTGTCTATTTCATCAATTAAATAAGATGAAATTACCTTGGGATATGTTTTTCTTTTTACTCTGTCATGCTTGAACCTCTCTGGGGCTTTTTGCTGTAATTGTGCAGCAGAATGAAATGAGTCCTGATTCAGAGATGTAATTACAGCAGAAGCTGAAGAGACACTGAATATGACTCAAACCTGAGGAAATTTGGAGAAAGCAGTGACAGTTAAAATGAAAGCTGCTTAAATTAAATAACCAGGATTGGTATTGATCAACAGAAAAAAAAACATTTCAGACACCGGAATTTATCACACTGAACTGTGCGACTGTATCCATGCAGCTTAAACACTGATAGTCAGATCAATTATTAGTGACTCATATCCTGCAGCAGAGAGCTAAAATGTTTGTGTAAGCCTCAGCAAGCTTCTTTTATGTTTGCATAATTTGAGTTTGGATCTCAAAATGAAGTCATCTGTGAGTCCCATTCAGCGCCATAATGCTGACGGGAGTTGCTGCACCCCTCACTGAGTTTCCAGTAATGCATGCATTTAGTTATGACTGCAGAGCCAGTTCAAACAGCTTTTGGACTCTGAGCATATAGCTGTTTTTGTGAGTTATTTTACACATTTACTTACTCTCTTGAAAGATTTACTCTTCAGAAATGAACTGACTTGGTTCTTGGAGCCACAAACAGGGTAGAAAAGTCATAGAGTATTGAGAGACAGACTAACACATTAATGGTTTTGATTTTTACAAAGAATGTGTTCATAATACGAAAATGTAGCACAATCCTAGCCTTATCTTTGGAACAATGTTATTCCTATGGAAGTTAAACATAGAAAGTACATTTAAAATGGGAACATAACCATAACAGACACTTACTATTGTTGTTAAAGCACAGTGTCTGGATCACGATGTAAATAAGCCATATGACTTTAGTGTGTAATTCTAGATAGTGCTATATGTCAAAATAAACCAAATGAAACTACATAAATATAAAAATCTGGTGTGCACCCTCCAAAATGTCAGCTGTGGGGACATTTGGGGATAAACATAACATAAATAACAGCAAGAAAATTGTCAGAGGAACCAGATTTTTTATTTAAGTACTTCCTGATGCCTAAGCTGCAACAAATAGCTACTTTCACCTGTGGTCTGACATCCCGTGTGTCACCACACCAGCAGAATACTGAAAATTGTTCCATCTCTGTCATTGTAGGTTTGTTTGGATGATGGCGTCAGCTAAACAGCCAAACTGTAAATGCTGCAACATCTTTAACTGTCGTAGGTGATGGTAGTGTGGATGTGGCAGGTTGCAGTTTTGGCACATCATGCTCTAATTTAAAAAGAGAGGTGCTAATGTTGCTGATCACATTGTTATGCTGCATAAACTTGCTAAATGTACGTGTTATTTTCAGCTTCACAGCACATCATTAGAGAGGTCACAGTCACAGGGGAGCACTGTCATCACCAGCAAAGAGGCTCTGGACATAGTGACTTTAGTATGACTGGAAATGTGACCGACACAACATGAAATATTAATGCCTGAGGAACGCGAGAGGATACAAAAATAGTGCACTCAGAAAAACTCTTGGGGCGGACAAAGCTGCATTGCTTCAATAATATTGCTATAGATCAGATTATTATGTAGTGTAGATGTGACATTTCTCTTTTTATGCTACAGTTCTGAATAGTAACTGAGTATTTACCTTACAGTGGTATATTGACTAGACTGAACTGTGATTATAAGATTTTTGGTAGTTTTCTAAACTTAAAAAAAAGAGCTCCTCACTCAGTGGGATATTTGTTTCTAAAGCAGTTTCATACAATTTCACGCTGATCTTACATCTCTTAAAATATCATTATATATTTCTGGCATAAGGCCATCCCTGGTAGGCTAGTGGTTAAGGCGCAGCGCTCTCGCCACTGCGGCGAATCAGGGCTGCGTCAGGAAGGTCATCCGGCGTAAAACACGTGCCAAATGTCAACATGCGAGTCGTCAGTGTGACGATTCGCTGTGGCGACCCCTAAATGCGAAAAGCCAAAAGTGACTTTCTATATATTTCTGGAATAAGAATTATAAGATCACTGACAATTTGTTAAAGTGTTACCATTTTGCTTGAGATTTGATAAAATAACTGTTTATGTCATGAATATCATTCAGGATTTAACAGTTACTTATCAATATGTAAAGTCACAAATGTTCAAATTAACATGACTAACACAAAGATCACAATAACATGAATTCTCATGTCTTAAAAGCTATTAGTTAATGTGAATGGAAGAGTTTCTGGATGGTATTTGCTGTCTTTGTGAAGAGAGGGAGTCAGGTGCAGAATGCACTGAGGTGTGAGCTGTGAAGCCAGGCAGCTGTGCATAAAACCCTGTGAAGAAGAAAGATGATGCATGTTCCTGCAAAATGGCTCCCTGTGTCAGGCAGGGCCACGGATGCATTAGGAGTATCTGATGTGTTGCCGCCAATCAGACTCGCTGCCGGTTTTTCCCAGTTGTCACTTAACATCACTGCAAAAAAAAATCCCCCAGTGGCCCAAAAAGAATGTTTCCCATAGGCCACCATTATATATATA